AACACTTTCACCACACTCGCACTTTATACTGTTTTTGCAGAGGTGCTCAGAATACAACAGTCTAGAAGCAAAAACAAATAAAATACACAACATACCCTCCAAACTGCCAAATATCCAAACCCCTCCTTTAAAGTGCGGGCATTGTACTTCCCATTTCCAGGACTCAAGTCCGACAATGAAAATAACGGTTTCCCTGAATCCCTTCACTAAATATTACCCTGCTCACACTCCAAAAGATCGTCAGGTCCCAAGTACCATTCGTCTCCCATTCACTCCTATCTAACACGCTCACGCACGCTTGCTGGAAGTCCAAGCCCCTTACCCACAAAACCCCCTTTTACCCCTCTCTCCAACCCTTTCGAGGACGACCCCTACCCCGCCTTCCTTCCCCTATAGATTTATATGTTTTCCATGTCATTCTACTGTGATCCATTCTCTTAAATGACCAAACCACCTCAACAACCCTTTTCTGCCCTCTGACTAATACTTTTATTAACTCCACACCTTCTCCTAATTTCCACACTCCGAATTTTCTGCATAATATTTACACCACAATTGCCCTTAAACAGGACATCTCCGCTGCCCCCAAACCCGTCTCCTCGCTGCTGCATTTACCACCCAAGTTTTCACACCCATATATATATATATATTATATATATATTATATATATATTTATATATATATTTTAAAATATATATATATTATATATATATATTTATATATATATATGTATATATATTTTATATATATAATATATATAAATATGTATTATATATATATTATATATTTATATATAATATATATATATATATAATATATATTAATTATAATTTTATATATATAAATATATATATATGTATAATATATATATATATATGTATAATATATATATATATATATATATATATATATATATATATATTTTATATATTATATATATATATATATATATATATATATATACAGTGGCCCCCCGCTTAACGATCACCTCCAAATGCGACCAATTATGAAGTGTATTTATGTAAGTGCGTTTGTACGTGTATGTTTGGGGGTCTGAAATGGACTAATCTACTTCACAATATTCCTTATGGGAAAAAATTCAGTCAGTACTGGCACCTGAACATATACTTGGAATGAAAAAATTCGTTAACCGGGGGTCCACTGTATATATATATATATATATATATATTATAAAATATTATATATATTATATAAATATATATATATATATATATAATATATATATATATTTTATATATATATTTTAAATATATTATATATACACAGTGGACCCCCGGTTAACGAACTTTTTTCATTCCAGTAGTATGTTCAGGTGCCAGTACTGACCGAATTTTTTCCCATAAGGAATATTGTGAAGTAGATTAGTCCATTTCAACCCCCAAACATACACGTACAACGCACTTACATAAATACACTTACATAATTGGTCGCATTTGGAGGTGATCGTTAAGCGGGGGTCCACTGTATACCCTAGGTAGTAGGTTGGAAAACAGCAACCACCCAGGGAGGTACTACCATCCTGCCAAGTGAGTGTACAACAAAAACCTGTAATTGTTTTACATGATGGTAGGATTGCTGGTGTCCTTTTTCTGTCTCATGAACATGCAGATTTCAGGTACGTCTTGCTACTTTACTTACCTTAGCCCAACCTACACCATACATGTACAAGCACATATATACACACCCCTCGGGGTTTTCTTTCTATTTTCTTTCTGTTCTTATTCTTTTTTTATTTCCTCTTATCTCCATGGGGAAGTGGAACAGAATTTTTCCTCCGTAAGCCATGCGTGTTGTAAGAGGCAACTAAAATGCCGGGGGCAAGGGGCTAGTAACCTCTTCTCCTGTATATATTACTAAATGTAAAAGGAGAAACTTTTGTTTTTCCTTTTGGGCCACCCCGCCTCGGTGGGATACGGCCCGGGGTGTTGAAAGAAAGAAAGATATATATATTATTTTATTATATATATATATATTTTATATATATATATATATATATATATATATATATATATATATATATATAAAATTTTACACAGTGGACCCCCGGTTAACGAACTTTTTTCATTCCAGTAGTATGTTCAGGTGCCAGTACTGACCGAATTTTTTCCCATAAGGAATATTGTGAAGTAGATTAGTCCATTTCAGACCCCCAAACATACACGTACAAACGCACTTACATAAATACACTTACATAATTGGTCGCATTTGGAGGTGATCGTTAAGCGGGGGTCCACTGTATATCCTAGGTAGTAGGTTGGTAAACAGCAACCACCCAGGGAGGTACTACCATCCTGCCAAGTGAGTGTACAACAAAAACCTGTAATTGTTTTACATGATGGTAGGATTGCTGGTGTCCCTTTTTCTGTCTCATGAACATGCAAGATTTCAGGTAAGTCTGGCTACTTCTACTTACACTTAGGTCACACTACACATACATGTACAAGCATATATATACACACCCCTCTGGATTTTCTTCTATTTTCTTTGTAGTTCTTATTCTTGTTTATTTCCTCTTATCCCCATGGGGAAGTGGAACAGAATTCTTCCTCCGTAGGCCATGCACGTTGTAAGAGGCGACTAAAATGCCGGGAGCAAGGGGCTAGTAACCTCTTCTCCTGTATATATTACTAAATGTAAAAGGAGAAACTTTTGTTTTTCCTTTTGGGCCACCCCGCCTTGGTGGGATGCGGCTGGTGTGTTGAAAGAAAGAAAGATATACAGTGGACCCCCGGTTAACGAACTTTTTTCATTCCAGTAGTATGTTCAGGTGCCAGTACTGACCGAATTTTTTCCCATAAGGAATATTGTGAAGTAGATTAGTCCATTTCAGACCCCCAAACATACACGTACAAACGCACTTACATAAATACACTTACATAATTGGTCGCATTTGGAGGTGATCGTTAAGCGGGGGTCCACTGTATATATATATATATGTCATGCCGAATAGGCAGAATTTGCGATCTTGGCTTAAATAGCAACGTTCATCTTGCCATATAGGACAAGTGAAAATTTGTGTATGCAATAATTTCGTCAAAATCATTCTGAACCTAACGAAAAAAATATATATCACTGTGTTTGTTTAGTATTAAATTACTGTAAACAAATCTAAAATATATTTAGTTGGGTTAGGCTAAAATAAATTGCTTTTGTTATAATAAGGTTAGGTAAGTTTTCTAAGATTCTTTTGGTGCAAAATTAAATTTTTTTACATTAACACTAATGAAAAAAATATATCTTTAAATGTATAAGTGAACATTTCAGAAAGGACTTAATTTTAAATGAGTTCTTGCTAACTGACCAGTTTTACATATTTGGCACAATAAAATATATATATATATATATATATATATATGAATGTCTGCTAAAGTATAGGTGAGGTGACCAGTTAGGCACAGGTAAGGCAGGTAGTCTGATCAGGTGCAGAGTCCATGGCAATAGAAGTCAGGTAATGTTAGGTGGTCTGGATCAAACACAAATAACACAATTTATCATGACCTGACTCCTTGAGGCAGACTCTGCCTAACGTTGCAGTGGATCTCATCCGTATCTGATAAGACCATCTTACCTCCTCACCTGACAGGTCACCTCATGTACACCAAATGGGACATCTCGCTTTCTTCTGATTTCAACCTAGTTCAGCATCTGATCCCACCACTTCACAGCACTAATGCATGTAAGAGTCACTTTCGATATTTAATGCATTGTACTTGAAAAAGCCTCATGTAAGTCAACAGTTAAACTAATAAAGATCTCCTTTTCTAACAAGTGCCTTTTTAAACTAAATTTGCATTATTATAATGCTAACAAAGAAATAGTGAAGTACAGCCTGAATAAAATTTTCATATATGGTAATCATTAAAATCTGTTAAATTCACACTTCAGGTACTATTCAACTGGTCATTTCTTGTAACCAAGAATTTAAAGTCTAAAAAATGGTAATGATATTATATGCAGAAAATTTAGCTGCTAGCTAGCTAGCAGGTCAAGATATATCAGGTTTATTTAATTGTCAAGCAAGCTTGTTCTTATGTAATCTACAACCTAACAAATAATTAACTCAACTTGAGAGGTTAGCTCTATTTAACTAAAAAGTTGACTGAAATACCAGTTTCTAGTTCAGGCAAGTGGGAAGAAATGTTCTCTAAAGGCTGGATCTATCTCAGAGGCATTAAGCTGCAAAAGATATAATGCTTAGTACTGTATAATATGCTTAATCCTAGCATGTGGGCTTTAGTAATTTTTGAACTCCATAATACAGGTACTTATATAAACTTTATTGTAAATTAAAATCAATACTTAAGAGAGTATTGTGACATAATGTGCTCTCTAAAATATCTGAATCATGGTATAGCCTCATAAGGTCCATTTCCAAGTTTTCTAAGGCCTCATTGAATCTGAAAGACAGTACTAATGTTTTATGTGAGTGTAGTCAGAGAAACATTGGCCTGTAGAAAAGTTTTTTAACCCTTAAACGGTCCAAACATATATATAAGTTCACTTGCGTAGCGCCCCAAATTTTTTTGAGAAAAAAAAAAAATTTTTTTAATAGGAAAAAAGAGCATATGGTACCCAGGCATCCCCAATTATTTTAATAATTCTCTCATGTCTAGGTGACTCAGGCTTATCGTGGCAATGTTGAATAAATGACAAAGAAAACGTATATAACAAGAAAAGGCACAATACCGTATATGTACGTTTGGGGCACTACGCACGTGAACGTATATATATGTTTGGACCATTTAAGGGTTAACAGGCAGTGTTATTTATAGGATTTCCAGCAAAATCATATGTATACTAATACTCTACTGTACTCATGGAAAATACTAAATCTGTAAGAGATATTCAATGCTGCTTAACAGAGAGAGAGAGGGGGGGAAATTATGAGAAGAAAATGAAATAGGATGAGAATGTAGCAATCAAAGCTGGGATAACAGAACAACTGTGAATAAAATGCTATGGACAGCATTGGCACTAGAGGTAATATCTCAAGAGTGGAGGTCTGACAGAGTAAACATACCAGGTACAATATCCCATGACTACACAGCTTGTAAAAAGAAGAAAAAATATATGCCACTTCTTACGGCTTCCTTTGTTTCACTTTAAAACTCATTTCTGCTTAACAAAAGTTAGACAGAGCAGAACAGGTTTTAGAGTAGCTACCTTTCATTACTTCTTGAGCAGGGAAATGTCTTGATGCTAGTAAGGGATCTTGATCCTATAAATTGGAGATACCCCTTCCTTTCCTTGGATCAATCTTTGATTACTTCCTGCCCTTCCCATTGCCCAGGCACTGTATGACCCCCTACAGGTTATACAGTGCCATGAATGTAATAGTAGTAGTATACAAAGGGCATACTTATTATCCTTTGTGATCTGGCAGAACATGCAGTGGAGAAGGCTGGAGATGCACCTAAGCTACCCCATCCCAATGAGATGTAATAAAACAGCTGTCACTACTACTATAACTTCTACTACTTTGTACTATTATTAATCCTATTACTTTTACAACTACAATTAAAAATAGTTCTGGGAAAGAATGTGTCTTGAAGCCAGCCAGCCAGCCTAGGGCAGTTACCAAGGAGTGACCAATGAGGCAACAGCCAACAGAGCAAGCAGAAGCATCATATCTAAACATAAGTCATATAATTAATTACATATTCCTTCTGGCACATCCTCCATATGTTATAAAATTAAAATTATCACTGGGATGAACTCTGATGCTTATGGTACCTTATTAATGCCATAACCTCAAAGATATTTTTCCCTACTATCATTCATAAAAAAATTTCTTTCAAACAATAAGTCTACTTTCATCTACGTCCTCTATTTTGCAATTTCCAGACAATTCTCTCATGAGGAATCCTATTAAAAGTACTGTACTAATGTACTGTCAATATTATCTGCCATCATTTCTTTCTTGAATGAATATAAAATTTCCAGATGGAAAAAATGTGCTAATTACTCTTAGGACAAACTTCTGTTACTCTTGTGACAAACTTCTGTTACTTTTGTGACAAACTTCTGTTACTCTTGTGACAAACTTCTGTTACTCTTGTGAAAACTTCTGTTACTTCTGTGACAAACTTCTGTTACTCTTGTGAAAACTTCTGTTACTTCTGTGACAAACTTCGGTTACTTTTGTGACAAACTTCTGTTACTCTTGTGACAAACTTCTGTTACTCTTGTGACAAACTTCTGTTACTCTTGTGAAGACTGCTACTTCTGTGACAGATTTCTGTTACTTTTGTGACAAACTTCTGTTACTCTTGTGACAAACTTCTGTTACTCTTGTGACAAACTTCTGTTACTCTTGTGACAAACTTCTGTTACTCTTGTGACAAACTTCTGTTACTCTTGTGAAAACTTCTGTTACTTCTGTGACAAACTTCTGTTACTCTTGGGACAAACTTCTGCTACTCTTGGGATAAACTTCTGTTACTCTTAGGACAAACTTGTTACTCTTGTGACAAACTTCTGTTACACATGACAAACTTCTGTTACCCTTGTGACAAACTTGTTACTCTTGGGACAATCTTCAGCCAGTTTTAAATCATTCTAGGTACTGTACTGTATAATTCACAAGAACAGCATATCAAAAGGTTCACTGTTATACTTACTTATTTTTAATAAGCTATTATGTGATTTCTTCATATATTTGTTGTTTAGCTCATTTTCCTTCCATACCTGTTTTTATTTTTGTTGGTTTTCTTTACAATATGTGCATGTGAAGCCAGGTGCAAAATAGGCTGTGGAAGAAATAAGGACAAGTTTATCAGACAAAATTCTTACAATATTTTGCCTGCAGTATTTTGTAGAAAATATCACAAAACTATGGTACAAATAATATTTTGGCCACATAAAAAAAAAAGATTTATAATATTGAATATTACTGGAAGAAAATGTAGTCTCTCTGTATTACTACTGTACCATGTTCATCTATCACTGACCTTGCAATACCTATAAACAAGTTAAATGTTGATAAATTAGACACATGTGCAACTCTTGGGTATCTTTATTGAGGAAGCGTTTCGCCACACAGTGGCTTCATCAGTCCATAGAAAGGAGAATCTTGAAGAACAGGAGGAGAATGAGGTAATCAGTCCCTCAACCTTGAGTCGATGTGGTCAGTCCATCAATCTTGAGTAGAATGATTCTACTCAAGATTGATGGACTGACCACATCGACTCAAGGTTGAGAGACTGATTACCTCATTCTCCTCCTGTTCTTCAAGATTCTCCTTTGTATGGACTGATGAAGCCACTGTGTGGCAAAACGTTTCCTCAATAAAGATACCCAAGAGTTGCACATGTGTCTAATTTATCAACATCTCGGTTCTCTGAACCATTCATCTACAAAGTTAAATTTTGTAACCTAGATTACCAAGAAATGTTAACAGGGTTGGCCACAAAAAGTTTAAATCTGTCATCCAATTCTCATTATTTGTAATCATGAGTCAACTTTAGATTAACAATTGTCTGCTTGTTTATTCTCTTTGTAATGCCTAAATTTTTGTTTGTATACCCTTAATGTCCTTATATATGTATATAAGAAAATAATAGTTAATGCCATTGTAGTCTTAAGTTAGGCTAAGCTTGCCCAAAATGCTCTGCATAACTATGGGCTGTCTGTATGCACAACCAAATGTCACACATCTCTGTACAAACACTGTATCATGCTGAAATTAATCATTTTCTTTATCATAATATTCTGAAAATCTATTCAATAAGAAATCAAAACAATACCTTTTTATTTGCATTAATTTTTTTGACTGCAGAAACCCAGCGGTCCCCTCCCAAAATGCTATAGTCAGGTACAGAACTTGTGTTTATCAGTCTTGTCCCTGATTTCTGACAACTTGAGAGTGAAATGTGCTGAGCTTCACCATATCTACTTTTTTTACGTAGTAATGCTGAATTTTGTGAAGCGTCAGTTTCCTGGTCGCTGTGCATTTCATCGCTGTCAATGCTCCAGAAACTTGATACATTTTTCTGTGTCTGCATGAGAAACAGAAGTTACAAAATTTAATGGTGAAAAGAATGTCTAGCAGATGATGATTTGCAATCTTACTTTAAGAAAAGGTTTATCATTTTAAATACAGTTGAACCACCAAATTCACTAGTTTCCTTATTTGCAAACTTTTGATTATCCAACTTTTTGTTGAAGGGTGTCCTGCAGATAGGTTCAATTATCTGCAAGTTTTTGATGGTGCCTGTATTTTTTTCTTTTTACTAGTGGCACAACCCTTAAGATAGAAATTAACTACAGGATTTCACTCAAAATGTGATCAATGGACCTGAAATTCAGAACATGGTATCAACAAAGCAGCATCACCCATCTCATTAAACAAGTAAGTTTTTTAATTCTCCTATTTATTTAATTTCATACTCAGTTACATATGTCTTTCAATTGGGAAAGCAAGTTTATTGTCAGCTAATAAAATTGGCTTGTTGAGTAGACAGGCTTTTCAGAAACCTGAGGTCCATGGGAAAATTAACTTAAATAAAAGGGGTCCTTCCTAGGTAGCAGGTTGGTAGACAGCAACCGCCCAGGGAGGTACTACTGTCCTGCCAAGTGAGTGTAAAACGAAAGCCTGTAATTGCTTTACATGATGGTAGGATTGATAGTGTTCTTTTTTCTGTCTCATAAACATGCAAGATTTCAGGTACGTCTTGCTACTTCTACTTACACTTAGGTCACACCAGGAGGCCTGGTCACAGACCGGGCCGCGGGGGCATTGACCCCGAAACTCTCTCCAGGTAAACTCCAGGTAAACACTACACATACATGTTTTTTTTTTTTTTCAACAAGTCGGCCGTCTCCCACTGAGGCAGGGTGACCCAAAAAAGAAAGAAAATCCCCAAAAAGAAAATACTTTCATCATCATTCAACACTTTCACCACACTCACACATTATCACTGCTTTTGCAGAAGTGCTCAGAATACAACAGTTTAGAAGCATATACGTATAAAGATACACAACATATCCCTCCAAACTGCCAATATCCCAAAACCCCTCCTTTAAAGTGCAGGCATTGTACTTCCCATTTCCAGGACTCAAGTCCGACTATATAAAAATAACCGGTTTCCCTGAATCCCTTCACTAAATATTACCCTGCTCACACTCCAACAGATCGTCAGGTCCCAAGTATCATTCGTCTCCATTCACTCCTATCTAACACGCTCATGCATGCTTGCTGGAAATCCAAGCCCCTTGCCCACAAAACCTCCTTTACCCCCTCTTTCCAACCCTTTCGAGGACGACCCCTACCCCTCCTTCCTTCCCCTATAGATTTATATGCTTTCCATGTCATTCTACTTTGATCCATTCTCTCTAAATGACCAAACCACCTCAAGAACCCCTCTTATGCCCTCTGACTAATGCTTTTATTAACTCCACACCTTCTCCTAATTTCCACACTCCGAATTTTCTGCATAATATTTACACCACACATTGCCCTTAGACAGGACATCTCCACTGCCTCCAACCGTCTCCTCGCTGATGCATTTACCACCCAAGCTTCACATCCATATAAGAGTGTTGGTACTACTATACTTTCATACATTCCCTTCTTTGCCTCCATAGATAACGTTTTTTGACTCCACATATACCTCAACGCACCACTCACCTTTTTTCCCTCATCAATTCTATGATTAACCTCATCCTTCATAAACCCATCCGCCGACACGTCAACTCCCAAGTATCTGAAAACATTCACTTCTTCCATACTCCTCCTCCCCAATTTGATATCCAATTTTTCTTTATCTAAACATTTGATACCCTCATCACCTTACTCTTTTCTATGTTCACTTTCAACTTTCTACCTTTACACACATTCTCAAACTCATCCACTAACCTTTGCAATTTTTCTTTAGAATATCCCATAAGCACAGTATCATCAGCAAAAAGTAACTGTGTCAGTTCCCATTTTGAATTTGATTCCCCATAATTTCATCCCACCCCTCTCCCGAACACCCTAGCATTTACTTCTTTTACAACCCCATCTATAAATATATTAGACAACCATGGTGACATTACACATCCCTGTCTAAGACCTACTTTTACCGGGAAGTAGTCTCCCTCTCTTCTACACACCCTAACCTGAGCCTCACTATCCTCATAAAAACTCTTTACAGCATTTAGTAACTTACCACCTATTCCATATACTTGCAACATCTGCCACATTGCTCCTCTATCCACTCTATCATATGCCTTTTCTAAATCCATAAATGCAATAAAAACTTCCCTACCTTTATCTAAATACTGTTCACATATATGCTTCAATGTAAACACTTGATCTACACATCCCCTACCCACTCTGAAGCCTCCCTGCTCATCCACAATCCTACATTCTGTCTTACCTCTAATTCTTTCAATTATAACCCTACCGTATACTTTTCGTGGTATACTCAGTAAACATGTACAAGCATATATATACACACCCCTCTGGGTTTTCTTCTGTTTTCTTTCTACTTCTTGTTCTTGTCTATTTCCCCTTATCTCCATGGGGAAGTGGAACAGAATTCTTCCTCCATAAGCCATGCGTGTTGTAAGAGGTGACTGAAATGCCGGGAGCAACTGGTTAGTAACCCCTTCTCCTGTGTAGATTACTAAAGTTAAAAAAAAAAAAAAATTTTGTTTTTCTTTTTGGGCCACCCTGCCTCGGTGGGTTATGGCCGGTTTGTTGAAAGAAGAAGAAGAAAAGGGGTCCTTGGTGGTGAAAAGGTTGGGAACCACTGTATAAGAGTAAACACACGAAGAACAACAAGACTTTAAAGTTGAAGACTGAATTATCTAAAATTATATTAAACCAAATAATTAAGGAAAATAAATTGTTGTTTTTACCGATACTAAGTTTTAGGCCAGTCCCAATGACACCAAAATTAGCTGATACACCCCTAGTGAGAAGTGTTATTTTTGTTATATTTATGAATAAGTGGTAAATCTGTGGGGAGGTCTGATAGTATCCAAGGATGGGATGGAATCAGATCTGAACCAGAGAAGAAGAGGTTACCTCTAATTTCTTGCATCAAGAACTATTCAATGGGAGGTACTGAGCTATGAACCAGGGAAGGAGAGGGGTAGCTCCAATTTCTTGCATCAAGTACTGTTCACCAGCATCATGGGACCTATCCTCCTTGAGGAGAATAAGTTGTAATGCAGAGATAAGGAAAAAAAAAAAAGAGATAAAAGCTGTAAAAGACTAACCTTGTTACTCTGTTGGCTAGTCTGGAAACTTTCCATTTGCATGCTCTGTTGAAAAAACAAAATGTAATCATAATTATAATAATCATAATCTTCAAGACAGCATCATTAAGAATGTAAATCAAGAATACTGAAACAAAATTATAAATATCATTAAAATATTATTTTTATTATATTCGTGGGAAAGTCCTAAATCTACATTATTGGTTTAAGTAGAGTAGGACTGGTTTATTGTTAGACGTATAAAGTCCATCAATTCATAGCACACTCAGCTCACACACTGAGGTCAGGGATTTAATCCCCGGTACAGGTGGACACATTAGGACGTGTTTTCTTAAGGCACCTGCTGTCCATGGTCACCTACCTCACAGTAGTAATAAGGTAAAATAATGAATAATTAGTATTTACCACTCTTAACCTATCTAGACTTAAGTAGTCTTTAAGTACAGCCTCTCCACACTTAGCGACATACAGTAGAACCTCGAGTTTCAGCCGTTTTGAGTTTCGGTCACTTTTTTCGCCTAAATTTTGTCTTGAGTTTTGAACAATACCTTGAGTTTCAGCTGCCATACCAGACCTGTCCACTCTCACACAAAGCATCCCATGCATGCGTTAAGAGTCAATCTGGCTTTGTTTCTCCTCGAGTGAACATTACCCTGTGTGTTCATCCAAACATTTCACAATCCATTGTTTTTATGTGCTTGGTAAAGAAAGTGAGAAACACAATAGAATTGAAGAAAGAAATTAAGGAAATTTGTGCAATGTGAAGTAGGGTGTAAGCTAAGAAATATCACCCTGAGCAAGCTGAAACAAGCTGTCTCTGCAACATGTTCAGTGACAAAACTATGTCCCATTTCAGACAAATGCTAAAGAGATGCCAGAAACAGAGGTCTCTGGACATTTTTTTTGTGCAAAAGGGGTCCAGTGACTCTCAAGCTGGTCCTAGTGCCAGTAAAAGACAAAGAAGGGAAGTAACCCTAGATAGGGCTTTGATACCGGAAGTCCTTATGGTGGGGGATTCCCCTTCCAAAGATTAAGTTCTCCCTCTCTCCTCCCTGTCTTCCATACACCAACAAAAGTCTTCAATAAAGGTATGTAGATGTGATTTTAAATGTTTATTTATCTATTTCACTAGTCATTTAAGTACTATATGTATTTATAATTGTTTTGTGTTTGTAAAACTTTTTTTTTTTTTTTTTTCAACAAGTCGGCCGTCTCCCACCGGGGCAGGGTGACCCAAAAAAAGAAAGAAAATCCCCAAAAAGAAAATACTTTCATCATCATTCAACACTTTCACCACACTCGCACATTATCACTGTTTTTGCAGAGGTGCTCAGAATACAACAGTCTAGAAGCATACACATATAAAGATACACAACATATCCCTCCAAACTGCCAATATCCCAATAGTTACATATTCTTTAAAAAATGTACTTTTTTTTTTTAAATATTTTTGGGTGTCTGGAACGGATTAATTTGATTTACATTATTTCTTATGGGAAATACTGCTTTGACTTTCAAACAATTTGAGTTTTGGCCGAGCTTCTAGAACGGATTACAGCCAAAACTCGAGGTTCCACTGTACTCATTTACTGACGACTCAGACTTACAATGGGCTCTCTAACCAGTATGCATACCTTTTCTCTTTATTACAATATATACAGTACACTACTGTATAAACATTTTAAAATATACCAGAAATGCTATAAATGGTGCAAAGGTGACATTAAAACAATATCAAAGTTGGTTGACACAAACCCATTACCATTATAGTATGACTTTCTTTGTACCTAACAAATTGTAAAATGTAATCACACATTGTAACTTTTGCAAAGAAATAAATTTTGTATTTGTATCAGTAAAATAGATATACTTGGGTGTTAGTCGACTGATGTGAGTTGTATCCTGGGACAAAACTGACCTAATTTGCTCGAAATGCTCTGGATAACAAGGGGCTTTCTATATAGTAGTATCTCATTGATGTTAGCTAGGCCTGTATACCTTGTACATGTACTTGTAGAAATAAAGATTATTATTATTACTAGGTAGTAGGTTGGTAGATAGCAACCACCCAGGGAAGTACTACCGTCCTGCCAGATGACTGTGAAACAGAAACCTGTAACTGTTTTGCATGATGGTAGGATTGCTGGTTTCTTTTTCTGTCTCATAAACACGCTAGATAACAGGGATATCTTGCTACTCCTACTTACACTTTGGTCACACTTCACAGACATGCACATGCATATATATATATACATACATCTAGGTTTTTCTCCTTTTTCTAAATAGCTCTTGTTCTTCTTTATTTCTTCTATTGTCCATGGGGAAGTGGAAAAGAATCTTTCCTCCGTAAGCCATGCGTGTCGTATGAGGCGACTAAAATGCCGGGAGCAATGGTCTAGTAACCACTTCTCCTGTAGACATTTACTAAAAAAAGAGAAGAAGAAAAACTTTATAAAACTGGGATGCTTAAATGTGTGTGGATGTACTGCGGATGACAAGAAACAGATGATTGCTGATGTTATGAATGAAAAGAAGTTGGATGTCCTGGCCCTAAGCGAAACAAAGCTGAAGGGGGTAGGGGAGTTTCAGTGGGGGGAAATAAATGGGATTAAATCTGGAGTATCTGAGAGAGTTAGAGCAAAGGAAGGGGTAGCAGTAATGTTAAATGATCAGTTATGGAAGGAGAAAAGAGAATATGAATGTGTAAATTCAAGAATTATGTGGATTAAAGTAAAGGTTGGATGCGAAAAGTGGGTCATAATAAGCGTGTATGCACCTGGAGAAGAGAGGAATGTAGAGGAGAGAGAGAGATTTTGGGAGATGTTAAGTGAATGTATAGGAGCCTTTGAACCAAGTGAGAGAGTAATTGTGTTAGGGGACCTGAATGCTAAAGTAGGAGAAACTTTTAGAGAGGGTGTGGTAGGTAAGTTTGGGGTGCCAGGTGTAAATGATAATGGGAGCCCTTTGATTGAACTTTGTATAGAAAGGGGTTTAGTTATAGGTAATACATATTTTAAGAAAAAGAGGATAAATAAGTATACAAGATATGATGTAGGGCGAAATGACAGTAGTTTGTTGGATTATGTATTGGTAGATAAAAGACTGTTGAGTAGACTTCAGGATGTACATGTTTATAGAGGGGCCACAGATATTTTCAGATCACTTTCTAGTTGTAGCTACACTGAGAGTAAAAGGTAGATGGGATACAAGGAGAATAGAAGCATCAGGGAAGAGAGAGGTGAAGGTTTATAAAATAAAAGAGGAGGCAGTTAGGGTAAGATATAAACAGCTATTGGAGGATAGATGAGCTAATGAGAGCATAGGCAATGGGGTCGAAGAGGTATGGGGTAGGTTTAAAAATGTAGTGTTAGAGTGTTCAGCAGAAGTTTGTGGTTACAGGAAAGTGGGTGCGGAAGGGAAGAGGAGCGATTGGTGGAATGATGATGTAAAGAGAGTAGTAAGGGAGAAAAAGTTAGCATATGAGAAGTTTTTACAAAGTAGAAGTGATGCAAGGAGGGAAGAGTATATGGAGAAAAAGAGAGTGGTGAAGCAATGTAAAAAGAGAGCAAATGAGAGAGTGGGTGAGATGTTATCAACAAATTTTGTTGAAAATAAGAAAAAGTTTTGGAGTGAGATTAACAAGTTAAGAAAGCCTAGAGAACAAATGGATTTGTCAGTTAAAAATAGGAGAGGAGAGTTATTAAATGGAGAGTTAGAGGTATTGGGAAGATGGAGGGAATATTTTGAGGAATTGTTAAATGTTGATGAAGATAGGGAAGCTGTGATTTCGTGTATAGGACAAGGAGGAATAACATCTTGTAGGAGTGAGGAAGAGCCAGTTGTGAGTGTGGGGGAAGTTCGTGAGGCAGTAGGTAAAATGAAAGGGGGTAAGGCAGCTGGGATTGATGGGATAAAGATAGAAATGTTAAAAGCAGGTGGGGATATAGTTTTGGAGTGGTTGGTGTAATTATTTAATAAATGTATGGAAGAGGGTAAGGTACCTAGGGATTGGCAGAGAGCATGCATAGTTCCTTTGTATAAAGGCAAAGGGGATAAAAGAGAGTGCAAAAATTGTAGGGGGATAAGTCTGCTGAGTATACCTGGTAAAGTGTATGGTAGAGTTATTATTGAAAGAATTAAGAGTAAGACGGAGAATAGGATAGCAGATGAACAAGGAGGCTTTAGGAAAGGTAGGGTGTGTGTGGACCAGGTGTTTACAGTGAAACATATAAGTGAACAGTATTTAGATAAGGCTAAAGAGGTCTTTGTGGCATTTATGGATTTGGAAAAGGCGTATGACAGGGTGGATAGGGGGGCAATGTGGCAGATGTTGCAAGTGTATGGTGTAGGAGGTAGGTTACTGAAAGCAGTGAAGAGTTTTTAAACGGGGATAGTGAGGCTCAAGTTAGAGTATGTAAAAGAGGGAAATTTTTTCCCAGTAAAAGTAGGCCTTAGACAAGGATGTGTGATGTCACCGTGGTTGTTTAATATATTTATAGAGGGGGTTGTAAGAGAAGTAAATGCGAGGGTCTTGGCAAGAGGTGGGGAGTTAAAAGATAAAGAATCACCACACAAAGTGGGAGTTGTCACAGCTGCTCTTTGCTGATGACACTGTGCCTTGGGAGATTCTGAAGAGAAGTTGCAGAGATTGGTGGATGAATTTGGTAGGGTGTGCAAAAGAAAAAAATTAAAGGTGAATACAGGAAAGAGAAAGGGTTTATGAGGATAACAAAAAGATTAGGTGATGAAAGATTGAATATCAGATTGGAGGGAGAGAGTATGGAGGATTAAAATGTATTCAGATATTTGGGAGTGACGTGTCAGCAGATGGGTCTAGAAGGATGGGGTTTGGAATCATAGAATTGATGAGGGGAAAAGAGTGAGTGGTGCACTTAGGAGTCTGTGGAGACAAAGAACTTTGTCCTTGGAGGCAAAGAGGGGAATGTATGAGGGGTATAGTTTTACCAACGCTCTTATAGGGGTGTGAAGCAGGGGTGATGAATTTTTTGCAGCGAGGAGAAGGCTGGAGGCAGTGGAGATGTCAGTCTGAGGGCAATGTTTGGTGTGAATATAATGCAGAGAAATTCGTAGTTTGGAAGTTGAGGAGGTGGGGGGATTACCAAAACGTTGTCCAGAGGGCTGAGGAAGGGGTTGTTGAGGTGGTTCGACATGTAGAGAGAATGGAGGAAACAGAATGACTTCAAGGGGTTATCAGTCTGTAGTGGAAGGAAGGCGGGGTAGGGGTCGGCCTGGGAAAGGTTGGAGAGGAGGGGTAAAGGAGGTTTTGTGTGCGAGGGGCTTGGACTTCCAGCAGGCATGCGTGAGCGTGTTTGATAGGAGTGAATGGAGACAAATGGTTTTTTAATATTGACGTGCTGTTGGAGTGTGAGCAAAGTAACATTTATGAAGGGGTTCAGGGAAACCGGCAGGCCGGACTTGAGTCCTGGAGATGGGAAGTACAGTGCCTGCACTCTGAAGGAGGGGTGTTAATGTTGCAGTTTAAAAACTGTAGTGTAAAGCACCCTTCTGGCAAGACAGTGATGGAGTGAATGATGGTGAAAGTTTTTCTTTTTCGGGCCACCCTGCCTTGGTGGGAATCGGCCAGTGTGATAAAAAAAAAAAAAAAATATTATTACTATTATTACACACAGGTTAGTAACACTGCATGTCACCTGCACACCATCACTGAAGGATATTTCAATGCTTTAAGTAGGGATTAAAGAAACTCGGCAAATATACAATGACAGATATACACCTGTCAGGAAATATGTATTGAGATAATCTACAGCAGGCAGGAGGTAACACTCTTCAGCAATAAAATACATCATGATAAAAAGTTGAATAAACTTCATATACCGGAGAACAAGTTCAGGTATTATTAAAGGTATCCTCAAAACATGCTTACCCTCTTGTTGTTCCATTTTTTTTATAAATGCACCAAAAACTGCCATTGTACAGTCAACCCTACAAATTTGTGGGCTTCTGTATTCGCAGAATTTGATCATTCAACACTGGTGAAAGTTTTTCTTTTTCGGGCCACCCTGCCTTGGTGGGAATCGGCCAGTGTGATAATAATAATAAAAAAAATATAGGGGTCCTCAACTCATAAACACTCAGGTTATGATGATCCGAACCAACATACAAGGTTCAAAAGACGTAATACTATTTAGAGAACAGCTATTTTATGAATGCTAATCTGCAGTTACAAATACATATTTGTGACACATAATTAATCTTTGTACTTTTTTCAATAGGATGATATATTTAGGAATACAAAAGGCTCACTCTTAAGCTGAAACACAGGGAATTCAATTCATATGTAAGTTGAGGAGCCCTTATAAAGTAATACTACTTCCAAATTTGTGAACCTTGATTATATGATGCTTTTAGTGAAGTGTCTAGTGTGAGTAATTTCAATAATTTGCTGATCTTTGCAGAGCCCACTTTTTGACTCGACCTCTTCAACCACAAATAGGTGAGTACATGGCCCCTGATATGAAGAGCAACCATGGGATTTTGCTGAAAATGTACTCACTGAATTTTCCACATTCAAATCTTTATTTTTTTTCCTCTCTCAGGACATTATTTCTTATGTGAGTATTTATGAGGTTTGGGCAATATTAAAGACATGGGCTCTGAAATGCAAAAATACTCTAAATCCAACAAAAAATTTATTATACGGAAAGAATTTAGTGATATTCATAGTCCTGAATTGGCAGGGGCCTTAAAAACCTAAAGTCCTCAAATTTTAAAGCAATTTCTTTGTAAAGGATTATAAAGCACATTTCAGATTTGATGCAAGTACGTAATGTAAAAAAAAAAAATGGATCTGTTTATACAGCAAAAATGCAACAGTGCTGGTTATTAAGTTAATAACATGAAACCAAAGACCTACCTGAAGCTTTGAGTTGGAAAATGTATCCCAGACCTTTAAGAAACTGCGGAGGCTACCACGGTGACCAACACTTACTGAAGTGCTCTCCACAATGGAATGCAGATGCAATTCTTCACCCGACTCAGAATCATCTACAGGATGAGAAGGATGCTTTCTGTGTACATCTTGAGCTACATGCCCATTTAACTGAGTTTGTGTGCCTGAGTCAACTTGTTTTTGTAGACCTAATCTTTTATTTTCTGCAGTTTTTCTGTATGTAAGACATTCTTCTTCCAAACTCTTTGAAATTTCCTGAGATACTAAACCATAATCTTTCATCTTTGGGGAATAGTCATTGTCATTTGTTTCAATGTGCATTTTACTGTCTTCAGGAACTGTCAAGATATCAGTTGGTTTGGCACTAGGCGAAGGTAATACAGGTACTATGACATTTTCAACAATTCTTGAAAAATCTTGTTCTGTATCTTTCTGAGACATCTTGTGCTCTTCAAGATGTACAGGTTTTCCAGCAACTTTACAATGACTAATTGCCACTTTACCATCAGAAGACTGATGTCTCTTCTTTGTTACATCTATATCAGCAATTATATCATCTTCTAAACATTTATGCCAGTTTTGATTGTTTGTTGTTCTGTTTTCAACATGTTTGTTTGATGTACTGTTGACTTCTCTTTGTGTACCACTAGTATTACTCGAAGTTCCATCAGGTGCCACTGTTACATTTTCCATTTGGTCTGCTGTAGCATTGTCATCTTCTCTTCTGGGTGCTTTATTGTCACTATCTAGGCTATCTTCTAACAAATTAAACCTGTTCCTCCTCTTTCTTTCTTCATCCTTGCTAAAGAACCGGAAGACAAGACGGCTACTGGATTCAGATAATTTCTTATTAAGTACTAGCTTACCTTTCATTTTTTGTAAAAGGGTATCGTCCCTACAGGACATATGGGTAGCCTCTGTTTCAGATTCTCTTGGTAATTTCAATGATGAGGTTTCCTCATTATGACATTCTTCCAGCAAAGTGCTTTGTATCACTTTGTGTGGTTCATTACTGACCTGAACTTTTTCAGAAACAGTTACTAATGTTCCCTCTTCACATGTTCTTTTTTGTTTAGGTCTATTACTTTGCTGTTTTGAAGGGGATTTGGGAAGGAATGAGCCTTTAGATGAATTATGAGAAATCTTTCTTTCCTGCACATGAGATGCAGTTTTTGATGGGCATGAAGCCACTGCATTACTTCCTGAAATGTTTTCTGGTTTCTTCATTGTAAGTGACAAATTCTGCAAAAACTGAGCCTGCAGTATGCGCTTATCTCCTGTTTTTTCCCAGGCCCTTGTCCTCCTCTTACCAGTCAGTTCCTTTACTGTTTTATCTTCATTTATGCTACAAATTTTTTTTGGTAACAAATGTGAACTACATTTTGGAACCATTTCCTTTACAGAAAGATTGTACAGGTTATCACATGAACTATCTTTCACTGGTGAAGCTTTCACCATGTTTAAAACTTTCAATCCTGTCTTTGTAGTTTCATCTGCTTTTTTTGTTAGCCTATTTTCAGTTAATGTGGGCAATTCTACTTGTGACTGCCAGGTTCTCTGTGACAATCCTTTTCTCATAGATCGAGTTTGCACTCTTTCTTCATCAGTTATTACTGGTACTTTATTTTCAAGTAAAATGTTAGTTTCTTGTGTGTTTGAATGCAAATTTCCACATTTTGGATATAATTTTTTCGTACAAACTGCTTGAAAGTTATTTTTACCAGATGTACTATTTTTCCTGGGTCTCCCTCTCTGTCTCTTTCTACACACTTCCTCATTGATTACGTCATTTTCAGGTAAAATGTGACTTTGTGTCTGTGAACACAAAGTTCTATTTTTTTGAGTTGTTTTCCTTGTACAATCACTCTGAATACTCTTTTTACCAGTTGCACTATTTTTCCTGGGTCTCCCTGTCTGTCTCTTTTCACACATTTCCTTATTGATTACTTCAATTCCAGGTAAAACGTAACTTTCTTGAGTGTGTGAACGTAAATTTTTATATTTCGGAGATATTTTCTTTGTACCAACAACTTGAAAACTATTTTCACCAGTTGCCCTATTTTTCCCTGTTTTCTTCATTACCTTATTTTCTGACAAGTCATGCATTTCTTCTAGTAAAGAATGCTTAGCTCTATGTTTAGAATGCATTTCTTCTGGCTGCACTTTATGACATTCAGCATTCTTATCCTCATCTTCCATCTTAGCTTTCTTATTGGTACTCATATTTTGAAACGAATTACTTCTCTTCTTCAACTTCAGTGTTCCTTTTGGCTCTTTTTGACAGGAACCTCCTGTAACAGAAGTATTTGGTAGGCTTTCCAGCTGCTGTGATGCTTCATTTCTTTTGCTGTCAGTGAAAGCAAGAGAATATAAGGGATAATGATTGTTGTTACTCATATAGGATGCAAGTATATTTTTCTGATTAACTGGAGGCACAAAAATAACATCAAGTAATTCTGTAAGAACAATTCCACAGGCATTTGGTGTAATATCCAGTAGGTTCTGAGCAGATAATGGTGAACTGGTGGATGTTTGTGCATGAGTGAAAGATGACGAACTGGTGGATGCTGGTGAACTGGTGGATGCTGGTGAACTGGTGGATACTGGTGCATCAGTGGATACTGGTGAACTGGTGGATGCTGGCACATCAGTGGGTGTTGGTATGCCAGTTGACGATAGCACAATGGTGTTTGTCAGTGCACCAGTGACGGCTGGTCCCCCAGTAGATGTATTCACTGGTGCATCAGTGGATGATGGTTTACTGGTGGGTGCTGGTATACCAGTGGGTGTTGATACACCAGTGGATGTTGGTGTACCAATAGGTGTTGGTGCACCAGTAGGCACTGATATAACTATGGGTGTCGGTTTGTCAGATGGTAATGGTACACTCCTGATATCGTATACCTTTTTTGTCTTGGCCCAATTTCTTTTTCTTCGCCCTTTAATTGGTAAATTATCGTGATAATTCTTCCCATTCTCATTACTATGTAAATTTTTCGGTCCTTTTACTAATTTTTTCATGTTTTCTGATGTCTCTTTTAAAAATTCTTTTACTTTAATCTGTTTAGAATTACTGCATTGACTTTCATCACTACCAGTTAAAAGTGCACTACTATCACTTGGACTAAATGTATTATGCAATAAAAGAGATTTATTTTCAAATATATCTTCCTCTATCTCTTTAATCTGATAGTCTTCTGGCAAACACAACTCTATTTTACGCTTATTCAGTAACTCCTGCACTTCCTTGGAGAAATCTAAGTCTTTTAAACCATTGACTGATGTGCTGCATTCCAAGCTTTTACTGGTCTCTAAAGATTGTCTTGGTGCACTGTAGCTGGATTTGAATTGCAGGTCGTATTTCGGAAGTGGTTCCTCAAAGCTTTTACTATCTGTGTCTGGTGGTGAAAGACCATGAGAGAGGCAAATATATTTATCTATGATGGAACAAAATCTGTTGTAGTTTCTCTGAGTAGCACACTGCATTAACGTCTCTAAAGCAGGGTAATCTGCATCACTTGGAACCACTTCCTGAAAAAAAAGAGGTAAGGGATAGCAGCAAAGCACACAATTAAAATTAAAATTTCTGCTTAAAACTAAAACATTTATACGAGTTAAAATGATGCAGTCATGTTGATATACATCTAATCGCATGTTATCTTTATGTGCATTACAATTTTTACTTATATAGCAGAATATTGATTTTACCATGCACCAACAGCCATATAACAAGGCATATGAATAACAGAACTCAAGTGCAGATAGTCAGACCTCATTAAAAAACTGAAAACTGTCACTAATTATAGTGATAGAAGGCTATATAATTTTATCTATAAACACAAAAATATCACAGATATAACCTTTATTTGACATTATAAAAATATTTTAGTGCATATTGGAATCACATTTATTATCAAAAGATTAAAGTCATCCCGACAAATTAACTAGCTTCTGTATTCACAGATTTTGATAATCCAAAGTTTTTACTGAAGTGAAACTAGGTAATAGATTCAATAAGCCATACCACAGGTGGGGACTGAACTCGTGGTGAGTCATAAAACTCCAGGCCAGCACGTAAGCCACTGGGCTTACGCTCATTAGTGGTCACAGTGGGGCCTGCGCTAACATTTCTATGGTGTATAAATATACCTAGTTGGATGAATCTTATTGTAGCCAGCTGGCCCAGTGGCTTACATGCTGGCCTGAAGTTTTATGATTCACTCGCCACAAGTTCAGCCCCCTCCCATGGTATGGTTTGTTTGCAATCGTATCATTACGATTTCCTGAGTCAAAATAGATTCAATAATTCAGTTTTTCCGAGTCAATAGGGAAAATATCAAAATGCTGGTGGTTGTATCTGTAAACTTAAAAGGTTCATTAAATTAGATAATATTTTTACTCTGACCATTGTTGAACTAAATGTATAGTTAAATTTTAATCATAGTAGTTTTATCACAGTATCAAGATATTTATCGATACAACTGGAAAAAGTAGATCCAAAATTGAGTATCATGTGGAAAAACCCTCATAGTAAATGCTATTTAATTTTTGATTAATTTTTCAATCATATTTACAAAAAATTGCACTATAAAGAGTAGTTTCAAGTAAAGCTAGTTGGAAATGAGGCGAGAATCGTGAATTTAAACTCTATTTTGGTTCGGAGCTGTTGTCTTTTTTTCTACCTTGGTATGAAAGTCATTGGTCAATTTACCCTGCATCTTTCCAAATCTCTAAGTGACAGAAAATGTTATAATTTGCCCCTAAAGAAAAAAAAATCCATGTCCTAAATGCTGTTTCTCAAGTGCTTAACTGGCATGGTTCTAGCTTGATTGCCACTTGAGAAAATTCCTGACCCTACTATACATGTAACTTGAGCTATAGTTTTTGAACCTACTACATGCCATGTTAAGGAAGTTGAGCTACAATTCCTGAAACTACTATAGGCCAATTTCCTCAACTAAGTATGCAGTAGGTTCAGGAACTTCAGCTCAACTTCCACAGCTAAGCACATTAAGTCTAAGAATTGAAACTCATCCTCCTGAAACAATTAGGCATGTAAATGGTCCAGGAACTATATAGCAACTTCTTGAAACAGACAGACATGTAATAAATATAAGAGATAGTTTGTGAGTGCATAGTCATGCACATCAGTGAGCTCTGTTTATGTTCAAGTGTGAACTTACTGGAGTTCTGTGATAGAATTATAGACAGATAGACAGAGGACCGAGCCTTCATCACTCCTCAGGTTGAGTGACTCGCACAGTTCTGGTGCTTCAGTTAAAGTCTGGTAACATTCTAACGTCACCACCAAAAGCAGGTAAAACTTATGCAACTGAAAGATTTACTTCATGGAAGGATACTTTATATACTAATTTAAATGTTGCGTGTTAATTATTTTTTAATGGAGGGGGTTTGGTAAGGTTTTTGTATACGTAAGTAGATAAGCTTTTATTTAGGCCTTATACATAATTTTAAACTTTAATAATAGTTTTCTATAGAAAATTATGTAGAATAAGATATTATTATAATCACAGGGAAGCGCCAAACCCGTAGGAATATACAGCGTATGTGGGGGGATGGAAGGTATTTAGGCTCAATTCAGGGAACCGGAGCACAGATCTAATTCCCTAGTTCAAGAGCCCCTCACCAGCATCAAGGAACCTCCCTTGAGGGGTTAAAGTAGGATAACCCCCCAAAAAAGTCAAGGAATGTGACTTATTCCCACTGGTATATGGTAACTAGCACATATAATGTATTCCACTATTACATGTCTATACTGATTACATGTAAGAAAAGCCTCTTTTTAAGTTAATGTAGGTGATTTTACAGGCAGTACTGTACATGTAATTTTTTATGACTGCTCAGTTGGCAGTGCACTCAGCCCCCACACTGAGTGTCCATGGTTCAATCCCTGGCACAGGTGGAAACGTTGTAGATACCTGGGTGCTAGTCCACTGTTCTGGGTCGCATCCTGGGGGCTAGTAGAATATCTTAGATAGGGATAGGCTTTGAAATGAGCTGAGGTAAGATAGCAGCTCTTAGGCTGTAAAATTAATGTGTAAAATAAATTCATGCATTGGTAAGTAAGTTTATTTAGGCACAGGTAGACATAAGTACAATTATCATCAATTATCATACATAGTAAGTGCAAAATAACTAGGATAACCCTCCCCCAAAAAAGTCGTTTATATAGGCACAGGTACACATAAGAACAATCATCATACATAGCATAAATTACCAAGGATAATCCAATGTGAACTTTTACACATATAAACATTTGTATCGGTAATTTAAACCTTATTAAATCTCAAATAATAGTCGAGGCCAGCAAGATCACCAGCACCGAGGTGCCTAATTTCAAAATTTACACACTCGCTAGAAGTGTTAAATGTATCACCTGTTCGTTCATTATACAAGAAGTCTCGTGAACCACTTTGATAGATGAGACAAGCCAGTGAATGGTGAGATAAACCAGTGGGAGGCGAGGTAAACCAGTGGAAGACGAGGTAAACCAGTCAGAAATAAGATGTCACAGATCACCGCCTTTTTTTAACATTTTGTAAACAAACACTTTGATAGGGACTCTAAGAATAAAATGATAATTAGAATGGCAATTAAAAATATATTAATCAAATATAATTATCAGGAATTATATAAATGAGTGGTATAACCTTATCCTGACAATAACTGGATGACTCCGTTAAAACGTAATAGCATTATATTCAGGACCCTTGCTTAGAAATTTTTGACCGTTGAGCCGAGTTATTTAATAAGTTTATTCAGGTATACACAAATAAAATTACATAGACTATCATACATAGCAGTATATGTGTAAAGAACCTAGGATAACCCAAAAAAGTCAGTGACTTATTTCCATTGGGGTCCTTTTACTACCTTATTATTTTTATAATATAAAGAAGATAATATCTTATTATTATACTAAGAATAAGGTAAAATGAGTTATTTATGTTTACAGGAGTGTTAACTAAAACAAAAATAATTTTCCTCCCTTTCTGTCGCCCACTATGATAACATGAACGTAGATAAGTATGTTAGGTAAGACACATATGCAACAGTTAGACAACTTTATTCCGAAACGTTTCGCCTACACAGTAGGCTTCTTCAGTCGAATACAGAAAATAGGCAGGAACAGTAGAGATGTGAAGACGATGTAATCAGTCCATCACCCTTGTAGTCGTAGAATTCCAGGCCGAGGGACTGACAACCTCAAATTCTACGACTACAAGGGTGATGGACTGATTACATCGTCTTCACATCTCTACTGTTCCTGCCTATTTTCTGTATTCGACTGAAGAAGCCTACTGTGTAGGCGAAACGTTTCGGAATAAAGTTGTCTAACTGTTGCATATGTGTCTTACCTAACAACCTGTCGGTATTGTATACCATTTTGATGTAGATAAGTATGTTTATGGAGCAACTTGCAATGTGAACAAACTGACTGATGTTGTAGTGGCCAGGCTTAGGCTTGGTTACAAGCAGCTTGGGAGACACACACATGATGATCAAACTAAATGTAAATTATGTGATCAGGCATATGGTCACTGTCTTGAACACTATGTGCTTAATTGTCCACTTATTGAGGAATACAGAGATAGTATAATAATCTATGTGACATGTCAAGATATCTTATTAATGAAAATAAGATACCAGATATACTAAGCAAATTTCCTAAATTTGCTTGTAACAGATAAGTGAACTGTAGATATAAATCCATATGTACACCTGTTAACCCTGTTGGGGCCTGGTTCCTAGGCCTGTAGTGTATCCATATGCTCTTGAGCTACCGTCCACAGGATGGATGTGGGATGCACAATAAACTAGCACTTCGGTGGCAAAGTCTAAATCTGTCGCTACATTCATTAGGCACTTTTTGGCTCTCTTCTTGAACTGGTTCATGTTATGACTGGCTTTGACATGTACAGGCAGTCTCTTTCATTTACCTGGAGTTTACCTGGAGAGAGTTCCGGGGGTCAACGCCCCCGCGGCCCGGTCTGTGACCAGGCCTCCTGGTGGATCAGAGCCTGATCAACCAGGCTGTTACTGCTGGCTGCACGCAAACCAACGTATGAGCCACAGCCCGGCTGGTCAAGTACCGACTTTAGGTGCTTGTCCAGTGCCAGCTTGAAGACTGCCAGGGGCCTGTTGGTAATCCCCCTTATGTATGCTGGGAGGCAGTTGAACAGTCTCGGGCCCCTGACACTTATTGTATGGTCTCTTCACGTGCTAGTGACACCCCTGCTTTTCATTGGGGGGATGTTGCATCGTCTGCCAAGTCTTTTGCTTTCGTAGTGAGTGATTTTCGTGTGCAAGTTCGGTACTAGTCCCTCTAGGATTTTCCAGGTGTATATAATCATGTATCTCTCCCGCCTGCGTTCCAGGGAATACAGGTTCAGGAGCCTCAAGCGCTCCCAGTAATTTAGGTGCTTTATCTCCGTTATGTGCACCGTGAAGGTTCTCTGTACATTTTCTAGGTCAGCAATTTCACCTGCCTTGAAAAGTGCTGTTAGTGTGCAGCAATATTCCAGCCTAGATAAAACAAGTGACCTGAAGAGTGTCATCATGGGCTTGGCATCCCTAGTTTTGAAGGTTCTTATTATCCATCCTGTCATTTTTCTAGCAGATGCGATTGATACAATGTTATGGTCCTTGAAGGTGAGATCCTCCGACATGATCACTCCCAGGTCTTTGACGTTGGTGTTTCGCTCTATTTTGTGGCCAGAATTTGTTTTGTACTCTGATGAAGATTTAATTTCCTCGTGTTTACCATATCTGAGTAATTGAAATTTCTCATCGTTGAACTTCATATTGTTTTCTGCAGCCCACTGAAAGATTTGGTTGATGTCCGCCTGGAGCCTTGCAGTGTCTGCAATGGAAGACACTGCCATGCAGATTCGGGTGTCATCTGCAAAGGAAGACACGGTGCTGTGACTGACATCCTTGTCTATGTCAGATATGAGGATGAGGAACAAGATGGGAGCGAGTACTGTGCCTTGTGGAACAGAGCTTTTCACCATAGCTGCCTCGGACTTTACTCTGTTGACTACTACTCTCTGTGTTCTGTTAGTGAGGAAATTATAGATCCATCGACCGACTTTTCCTGTTATTCCTTTAGCACGCATTTTGTGCGCTATTACGCCATGGTCACACTTGTCGAAGGCTTTTGCAAAGTCTGTATATATTACATCTGCATTCTTTTTGTCTTCTAGTGCATCTAGGACCTTGTCGCAGTGATCCAATAGTTGAGACAGACAGGAGCGACCTGTTCTAAACCCATGTTGCCCTGGGTTGTGTAATTCATGGGTTTCTAGATGGGTGGTGATCTTGCTTCTTAGGACCCTTTCAAAGATTTTTATGATATGGGATGTTAGTGCTATCGGTCTGTAGTTCTTTACTGCTGTACAATAAAAGGTGATTAAAGCCTGACCACTGACTGTGGGTACTACAAAGTTGTGCTCTCTCCCCCTAGTACTATGATTGCTTTGGTTCTCAGCCTTGACAAAATTGGCAGCAAGATATTCTGGACATGAGCAATTTTATAAACTTGATTTAACTTCAGCTGTTTTACTCTGTCTTCAACATCCAGCATATCCAATAGTTGTAATTTATCCTGGCCTACATGTTCTCTTGGACCCAGGTCCAGGATGAATCTTACCATTTTGTTCTGGGTGATTTGCAGTCTACTTTCAGTTTTTTTTTTTTTTTTGTCAAGGCAGAGTACCATGAAGAGCAAACGTAGTCCATATGACATTGTATAAGAGCTAGACATAGAGTCCTGTGAGCCACAGTAGGTAGGCACTGTGCTTGTCTGTAGTGCGCTCGTGTGGGTGTATGACCCACTTAATATTTGTATTTATAACTCATTACAATTGTGACCGGGTGTGGACGTGTCAGTGGCTCATTACTTTGTAATTTGTTCATGATTGTAACTATGTATAGGAGTGTAAATGGTTCATTACCTTTGTAACTTGTCATGATTGTGACCAGATCTACCTGGAGTTCGTTACCTTTGTAACTAGTTCAATTATCATAACTTTGGGTCCCAGTCCCTGGACCCATTATGTACCTCTGTAATCTTTTGACTACCGCCCACAGGATGGGTATGGTGTGCATAATGAAGATATTAAACTAACTGTAAAGGAATTTCGGTCTGGAATTCGCTTTCTTTACTACACTGTTCCCTATCAATTCTCCTGACATGCATGGGTCAAAGGGGATTCCCAGATATTTTACTGAGGAAACTGAGGTGATGGGTTTTCCATTACACCGAACATTAAAATTATTTGCCCCTCTCAGTTTATGTTTCGTGCCGAAGATTATGGCTTCCGTTTACCCAAGGTTTAACGATAGTTTGTTGTCTACTAACCATTTGCTGCAGCACTCCAATCTCAATGTTATTACATTAGCTATATCTTGTGAGTCTTTACCTGGCACTAACAGAGCACTATCATCCGCATACAGCAGGAGTTTGCACTTGACACTGATGGGCATGTCGTTTACATAACACAGGAATAATAAGGGACACAGAATACTACCTTGGGGAACTCCACATGCTATCGGCATGAGTTCTGATTCTGTTTTGTTGATTCAGATGTTAGGAGACAGGGAAATTCACGCGCCTCTTTTAACCTGCTACGATTCCCTGCTGGGAGACGTTACTGTTACTGTTGAACTAATTCCTCGGATGGTGGCTTAAAAAAGATGCTTTATTGCCGATTACAGAAGACTTTCAAGGAGGTTTTTGTCTTTACCCTCTCGAACATAACCACAAAACAGAGTCCATTCTCTTCGTGTTACAGGTCAGAGAAAACTTACTAGCAGGATTTTGCGTCTACCCTCTCGTGCATTTCCATTTTCTAATTACATTGTGATGCAGTTGTTGTGTACACTTATGGTTCAGTCATGTGGAGGGTCGGGATACAATGCCATGTTTCGTTGGTTAGTTTAATTGCTATATTGTGCACTTCATACCAGCCCTCTGGATTGTATTTAAAAGATGACAGAGGCATATAATGGATTCAGGGACTGGACACTCATGTAGTAGCAGGTTAGTGGTAATGAACTACTTATAATTTTCATGTTTGTCTTCACAAAGTTGAGTTACGTAGCTGTTTTAACTTCTAAGGTTATAATTATAATTGATTTCTACTGTAACTTACAGTTAAGCTTTAAATAATAAGCTATTACAATATAAAGAAGTTAATTTGATTTTGGGGGGTTATCCTAGGTACTTTACACATATATTATGTATGATAATTGTACTTAAGTGGACCTGCACCTAAAAAAAACTTACCATCCCATGATGATTGTAACCAGATCACAAGAACTTGCCGTCTTTCCCGACCTTGCTTTTCAAGGTCACTTGCGTTAGTCTATCGGCAACTTCACTGCAGACTTGTATGCCCTCTTTACAGGACATCTTATACATTACCACCTTGTCTGTGACAAGGTAGTAATGTTTAAGATGTCATACACGTAATGCATTACGAAGAAACCAATCAACAGATTCATCCTGTATTTGGCTCCATGTAGAGCC